CGTATATCCCCAGTGTTGCATACGGGAATTATATGGGCGTGGTTTGCCTGGGTGCGTATATCCCCAGTGTTGCATATAGTGCCAGGTACAGTGGTCAAGAAGTGATTTATTTTTCCCATTTGTTCATCCATGCATTCAACAAAATCATACAGAGGTTCAGAACAGAGAGAGAGAGTCTTTGTGAGAATATGTGAAGCCTTCCTAAAGTGTTCTATGAGCTGGCCTTGTAGGAAGGGGAGAATTTGAGCAGGAGGATGAGGAGGGAAGGAGGGACCATATAAACGAAGGACAGGCAGCACGGGACAAACTCCATCAATTCCTGTGTCTGGAATGCAGAGTGGATAAGGCTGGAAGGATAGGCTGAAGTGTGATCTACAGGGCCTAGAATATTAGACCAAGTATTGTTTTCAAACGGGATGCCTTTAAACAGACTCTACCCCCTTCCTCAGAGCATTCAGGAGGCCGCCTTGCTCTGGAGGAGAGCAGCGACTAGGAGTATAGAGGGCTTCTCCTTAGCAAAGTGTGCCTGGGATTCATCTTCTGTCTTGCAAATGATGTAACAAGAGTTCCAAGTGACAAGAGACTCTAGTCTTCTCTGTGATGACACCAAAACTTCCTTTTTTTTTTTTAAGATTGATTGATTGATTTGACAGAGCGAGAGAGCACAAGCGGGGGGGAACAATAGAGGGAGAGGGAGAAGCAGGCTCCCCGCCAAGCAGGGAGCCCGACTTGGGACTCAATCCCAGGACCCAGAGATCATGACCTGAGCCGAAGGCAGACGCTTAACCACTGAGCCACCCAGGCACCCCCCCACTGAACCGAAACTTCCTTAGGGAGGTGGCAGTGCATCGTAACTGGGAACCAGAGTACTCGCTTGCAGCCCGGCTCCATCAAGTATTAGCAGGTTGACCCACACTCTGGGGCCTCCGTTTGCTGGGTTTCAAAGTGTAGCTGATAATCCTATCTATCTCAAAGCTGTTAGAAGGCTTAAAGGAAATGAGGCACAGAAACCCTATCGGAACGGTAGTTCCTGGCACATAAGGGCTCCACAACTGTTAGCTATTAGTATTCCTTCTTGTCTGTGTACCTTGGTTTCCTCATCCAAACAGAGACCATAATACCCGTCCCAGCCCATTTCTTCTAGACCCTGACAGAATAAACTGCAATTAAATGTGTGAAAGCAACTTGGAAGTTGAGTGCTGGGTAGTGGAGAGGTGGTGGAAAGGCTGATAATTACCATAGCCTTGGCTGAAAGGTAATGCCAGGGGCAGGAAGGTAAGGAGCTTATGTCTCTCCAGGCTGTCGGCTCCAGGTGCGTATTTGTGAATGGCCTCTCTCGATGCAGTATGCCAAAATGAAGGCCTGAGCATTCGACTGGTCCAAGATGACATAAAGATGGGAACAGGAAAAATTTACTAAGCAAGAAATAAATAAGGTTTAAGCCCTGAAGCCTCGCAAGCAGTGTAATTTCAAACATCATAGTCTTGGACATCTGGGCTCTATTACCTGAAATCCCATTAAACCTCCAGTTTCATAATTCTGTGTAGAACCTGGTAAATTGCAAGATCCTGCTGATGGCCACCAGCCAGTTCAAGCAATTAATTACAAGGGTCCCCAAGCAGGTTTGCAACTCATGCCAAGTGGATTCTTTAAGTGGAAACTGTGTACACAAAAGAAATAGCCCAATCCATGCAGTTTTGTAGCTCTGCCAACACAGAGAAAATATCTGTTATCATTAAGACATCCAAGCCTCATAACTTTTTCCTCAATGGAAATTAGTACTCACTAGCCCAGGGAAGCTCCCCCAACCTCATTAGCTGTAGTATAGGCTGTAACCTGCTGAGAGCTGACAAATCCAGTTTAGACAAAACTAAACCCTACTGTTTCCCCACCCTCAGCATTTTTTCATTTGGGGGAACTCAACTTGACCTGAGCTCTTTTTCCTTTTGAACTTTTCTAGACTATATGGACTATTTGCATGTGCTCCGGTGTTCCAGGCCAAAGATGCAAAACCCAAAATAAAGAAAGAACCTGGGGAACCTATATTCATAATCCTGCTAGGCATACCCACGGTGAAAGGGCCTATATCAAAAGAATTTTTTCTTATAAGACTTGTTGCTTGGTTTTGCCAACTCAAAAGGGTTTATGTAAACGAGATAATCTTCTGCACTTCAGAATGTTTATAAAGCCTGTCCTAATTACACTATTTTGTTTATAGAATGATTCTGGGAAAATGACGGAGAACAGAGGGGAACCTTGAGCCCTTGCTAGAGAAAGCAGGAAGGGGAGGTGGGGATCAGAATAAATTTACAATATGGATGAAGGGATCTGTGGTTTCACCTGGTGTTTTTAGTTTTTTTTCTTTCTGAAATTTTTACTAAATCTCTGTCTGTTTTCCACGCTACAAAGCTGCTTTCCAATATGGTAGCCACCAAGCACATGTGATCATGGCACCTACTGCATGGAGCACTGTTATATGAAAACAATGAATCATGGAACACTACATCAAAAACCAATGATGTATTTTATGGTGACTAACATAACATAATAAAATAAAATAAAATTTTTTAAAAAGTACTAAAAAATAATTTAAAAATAATAAATAAATAAATTTAAATGAATTAAAATGAAATAAAATTTAAAATTAGTTTCCTCCAGGTGCTAGCCACATGTCAAGTGCTCAATAGCCACATGTGGCTAATGGCCACCATATTGGAAAAGCAGACATAGACCATCCCCATCGTTGCAGAAAGCTCCACTGGGCTGAGCTGCTCTAGACTAAGAACTCGATGGCCTTGCTACTCACAGTGTGGTCCACAGACCAGCAGCACCGGTATCGCCTGAGAGCTTGTTAGACCTGCGTGATCGGCATTTTAACAAGATACCCAGGTGACTCATATGCACATTAAAATTTGAGAAGTGCTATTGTAAAATACCCTTCCACTCTAAGATTCTGTATGGTGAAATCCATCATCGTTATCAGCATTACATGTTAATATTTATTTAGCTTGTATGACATTAATTCAAAAAGATACTTTTGCCCCTTGAGACTTGGCATGCAAAAGGAGGGATACTAAGTATACCTTGTATACTCCTTTAAAAGTGTGCTTTTCTCTTTCTCTTGGAAAAGCTGCAGGATCTGGAGAATTTTTTTGAATATGTTTTTTCTGAAGAAGTGAATCTTCAGCATTTTTCCAATGAAGAAGCTATTGGATTGGTCAACAGAGAAGCCTTTGAGATTAAAATAAGATTAAATAGACAAAGAGGGAAATAGATGAACTTCAAAAAAAAAAAAGGAAGGAAAAGGAACTTACTCAGTTGACAAACACAAAGGACACCCTTCTTTGGGAGTGAGTGAGGTGCGAAGCAGAAGCAATGGGAGAAATTAGGAAGCAGCCCTCAGAATATAATCTGCCAGCTGGTCCTGCCATTTTGGAGATGGAGGGGAATTTCAATGGCAAGTTGGATCGAACTTCAAGGCATATTTTTGTGCTCTCACATGAGATTCATTGCTGTTTGTGCAAGTGGACAGAGTTTTCTTCTGGAAGGTTCTGTGGGCTTTTAGAGTGGCTGTTGGAATTTAATGACTTGAAATGCTTACCTCTGTCCAGTGCAAAGAATGGAATCACTGGATTACCTCCTACTAATTGGCTATACCATGCATCCCTGCTGAGAGCATCTGGCCTGATGATACTTTCTCCCAGAAAGGCATCAAATCATATCTCTGTGGTGAAGATGGCAGCCACTGTTGTCAGCAGTTCTAGTTCCAAACAGCCATAAAGCTGAGTGAGGTTTTGCCAGTTTCCTGGGGAAATCAGGCCCTGAGCGGTATCCTGGATTATCACAGAGAATTTATGGAGTTCAGATGCTTATGTATACTGAAATTTCTTTTTTTTTTAAGATTTTACTTATTTATTTGACAGAGAGAAAGAAAGAGAGAGAGCCCAAGCAAGGGGAGCAGCAGAGGGAGAGGGAGAAGCAGGCTGCCCACCGAGCAGGGAGCCCAATACAGGGCTGATCCCAAAACCCTGGGATCATGACCTGAGCCAAAAGCAGACACTTAATTGACTGAGCCATCCAGGTGCCCCTATACTGAAATTTCTAAACCAGCCCTCATTGGAGAACAATACTATGGCCCCCAAACAAATTCTGCCCCTACTTTAAGTAGCTACTCATCCTACTCATGTGGCTTAGATATTACATGCATTCAACAAACATTTCAAGAGCCCCTTTGATATTCTAGGCATTCTTCCATAAAATGCAGAAGGAGAAGAAGACATATTCTTTGCCTGAAGAAGCTTGGGGTCAGGAACAGGGGTGCTTAGAGAGTGGCCCTAGCAACATCAGTGTCCATGGAAGCTTGTTAGAAATGCACATTCACAGACACACTCCAGACCTATCGAATCGGCTTCTTTCCATGTGGGGCTCAAAATCTATGCCTTACCAAGCTCTCCAGGGGATTTCTAAGCAGAGTAAAATGTGACAAGCATTTGTTTATAGACAGACACATCATCAGTTGATTCTAATACAGTATGATAAGTACAATGATACAGATAGGAAACCACCAGCCCCGAAGCCCCCAAGGCAATGTTGGGCATTTTAGTAAATACTCAATGGAATAAATGTTGCTTGCTTGCTTGCTTGATTGATTGATGCATGAATCAACCTGTACAAACAAAACAATACTGGGATGGTAGAGCATGCCTAAGTTTCCGGGACTTTGAGTGGGCTGAATGGCTTGCTCAGGCCTCATGGCTCTTGTCTTGTCCCATTCTAAAATCCGGTATTTGGATCACTGCACTGGATTCTATCCAGGATGCTTGGTATTTTGTTATGTGAACCGAACAAGACTGTAAGCCAAATTTCCCCACAGTCTACATACTTTTCTCTGTCTGAAGGACAAGTAACTACTCTTCAAGTACTGGGGAAAAGACAGCAGCGCTGCCATGGACTTGTGAGAATCACATAGAAGTTTGCAGACCTCTGCCTGGACATTCTGAATCCATGGAAATGCGGGGAGAGGGTGGACAAAATTAAAATTTTAAGAAGCTCCTTAAGATGAATCCAATGCAGTCAAGTTTGAGAACCTGTGGCCAAAATGCCGGAGTTCCTAAACCCTGGAATCCAGAGACTCAATCTAACCCACAGGAACCAGAGTTGACTTCTGTAAGGTTTTGAGCCTCATAATGTAGACCAGCAGCTTTACTTGTAGCAGAACAGTAAGGGAACAAATACAGTGTCTTTGTTTTCTTTCCTTGGCTGAGGAAAAGGAGAGGGACAGCTTGCAGACAAGTACATTCTTTCTGTCACTCACTCTGTGTGTGTGTGTGTGTGTGTGTGTGGTGATCCACCTTCATCTCTTGGGCCTCCTAAAACCCCAGAGAGAGGTGACAGTCCAAGCCAATGAGGACTGCAAAGCCAACTGCAGAAAGACTGCTCTTTTGGTATTGGAGCCAATCATATTCTAATTGAAACAATAAAATCGAGGGCTGAGGAGGTGGGGGATGGAGGCCAAGGCCTTCCTACCCCATCTAGGTAAAAATGCTTGCCTAAAAAGCTTCCCCTGGAGCTTTGGGACTACACATTTCCTGCTTAGCACTGCCAGAATCAACAGGCCCCTGACATGTCATAACCAGATCAAGGGTCATAGCCTAACACACAGCCTGTGTTCACTCATTTCTCTCCAAGCCTAACTTCCTTCATCTGTGGAGTGAAGTCATGGTATCTACCTGCTCGAGTTGCTACACAATGGACGCAGGTTCTTAGCATGATGCTAGGCATGTGTAAGTAGTTGGTTAACAACAGTGCTTACTATTATGATCATTGTTGTCTACAGACTCTGTGTTAGTGTTCTCCAGAGAAGCAGAACCAATAAGAGATCTTGGTTCTTCAATAAGAGATATATCAATCTATCTATATTTACCAATCTCTCTAGTTATTGAGAGACAAATCTATTTAGAGAGAGAAAGTGCACATGGGGGAGAGAGATGTCGGATGGATGGATGGATGGATGGATAGATAGATAGATAGATAGATAGATAGATAGATAGATAGATAGATAGATAATAGATAAAGGAGTTGTTATAAGGAATTGGCTCACACAATTATGGAGGCTGAGAAGGCCCAAGATCTGCAAGCTGGACACCCAGGAAAGCTGATGGTGTAAGTTATAGTCCAAGTCTGACTCTGAGTCTAAAGTCAAAAGATCAGTGTCCCAACTCAAAGATGGAAAGACAGGCATAGAAAATGAATACTCCCTTACTTGGCTTTTTTTTTTTTTAAGAATTTCTTTTTTTTTAATTCCAGTATAGTTAACAGTGTTATATTAGTTTCAGGTGTAGAATTTAGTGATTCAGCAGTTCTTTTTTTTTTTTTAAAGATTTTATTTATTTATTTGAGACAGAGAGAATGAGAGACAGAGAGCATGAGAGGGAGGAGGGTCAGAGGGAGAAGCAGACTCCCCGCCGAGCAGGGGGAGCCCGATGCGGGACTCCATCCCGGGACTCCAGGATCATGACCTGAGCCGAAGGCAGTCGCCCAACCAACTGAGCCACCCAGGCGCCCAGTGATTCAGCAGTTCTATACATGACTCGGTGCTCATCAGGATAAGTGCACTCTTAATCCCCTTCATCTATTTCACCTCCCCCCCCCGCCGCCCCCTGTAATCATCTGTAGAGTCTGTTCTTTGGTTTGTCTCTTTCTTCTTTATTTGTTTTGTTTCTTAAATTCTACATATGAGTGAAATCATATGGTATTTGTCTTCCTCTGACTGACTTATTCACTTAGCATTATCCTCTCTAGATCCATCCATGTTGTTGCAAATGGCAAGATCTCATTCTTTTCATGACTGAGCTTTACTCAGCCTTTTGTTCTCCTCAGGCCTTGAAATGATCAGATGGGGACCACCCACATATTAGGAAGAGCAATCTACTGTACTCAGTCCACTGATTGATATATTAATCTCATCCTGAAACACCCTCAACAGAACACACCCAAAATAATGTTTAACCAGATATCAGGGCACCCTGTGGCCCCATGGGGTTGACACCTACAGCATCCCTATAGTTTCCAGGTTACTAGGGTTTATGAGAAGTTACAAGCTAGTTTGTATGCATCATCTGTTTTCTCACCCATAACCGAAGTCCTCTGCCAGCCTGATATTCATTTTGCCCAAGATTCAGACCTCGATTTTCATGCAGTAGGTGGGTAAAGTTAACTTCTTAATCATCCTCTCAGGGGGCAAAGACCCCCCAAACTGTCAGGGGTGGGGGAGTAGGCAGTAGCAGAAATAAAACCAGTGCAACTGAGAAGGTATACGAGCTTTCCCACCGAAGGATTGGTGGCAGAGCTGAGATTTCTTACCACATAAATCCCCCCTTTGTCCTTTTCTCCCCTAACTTCTCCCCTACATGCTTACTGATTAATTGAGCATACCTGTTTAAATCATCCAATCTTGATTCTTCTAATGGTATGCCTGCAAGGGTTCTAAAAGTTAGAAATGATTTAGTATTAGAGGTTTTGACTACATTGACTATAAAATTAAATAAAATGAGCAAATGATGAACAGAAGGAGTGAGGTTTGAACTCAGCCTTATATCCTGTGCACACAGCAGGCACACTTAAGTTGGTTTTTATCTCGGCCTATTTTGGGAGTGATATATTTGGCTCCCAACCAGGAAGAGAAGATAAACAAGGACCTGTATCCTCTAAACCAACCTCAGCACTATTGACATTTTGGGCTGGATAATTCTTTGATGGGAATGGGCGGGTGGGGGGAGGTCTGTCCTAAGGCAGTTCTAGGATGTTTAGGAGGGTCTCTGGCCTCTACCCACCAGATGCAGTAGTTATCCCCCTAGTTGTGACAACCGAAAGTGTCTCTTGACAGTGCA